TGCTGCTAACAAGATCCATAAGAAGATGGTAAAGATTTCGAACCCATTGTTTGTCGGAGATGGAGATAGACCCTCGGCTATAACTTACTTCTGTGCAAGAAAGACACTGTAAACACGTATGTAGCAACGGCTCAAACATTACCTTGAGGCACTTTATCAGATGGGCAGACGGGTGTTTGGTCTGAAATGTTTATTTAAAAATAGGACCTTGGACTCCTTCTTGAGGCATGTTCAGAGGTCAGCAGAGCTACAGCCAACTGTTCTTTCTTCCAGTGAACATCATTGTCCCAATTTGTTTTTGTTTTTTTTGTTCTCTTAAAGAAACGCAGGTCTGTCTTCAGTGAGCCCCCTAGTCCTCTCTCTGTCCCATGTGCGCTTAGCAGGCTCATAGCTGACCTCTTGGCTACACTGGAGTGAAATGAACTCCCCAGGCCAAAGGGCATCTTAACAGCCTTGCATCCTTACATTACTCTTACATAACACTCATGATGGATTACAGACTGAGGAGAACAGGAGCCAATTTAACACACATGCCATCTCACACAATAAAGACCATGGCGTTCATGTTAAAGGTGCTGTCAGTGAGATAACAGATGTTTGCCACATCACTTCAGTGCTTATAAAGAGACACTAAAGAGGTGCACTGTTTCTAGCTAAATATTTAGTTATCAAGTGTCTGCCAGATCAGTGCCAACTTGTATGACTTGTTTTCTGGCTGCTGGTTCAACTGCTTGGACTACATATTGGATACAAAATAAGATCGAGTTGTTTCTAAGTGCATTGATGTTCTCTGACAGTACAGAATAATCCGCCCATTGTCTCTTTTCAGCTTTGCTTTGTTCAGATTCTCAAAAAGTGTCACAATATCAGCCCTCCCAAAGAGTGCAAAATCAGCACCAGTTTTACCAGCATTTGAAAAACCAGCTAACCCTGGTGCGGCCCTCTTTCATTGTACAATCTCTCTTTGTGCTTTTCATGTGTCGTCGCCCCAATTTATATGCCAGGCAGGAGATTTGGGAGTTAGGCCTTGTTAAGGACTAACATTAGTATGCTAAGGCTTTGCACGTTTGCTGAACATTCAGGCTTTCAATGGAAAACTTGATGAGCAAATTTAAAATAACAAGGAAAAAAGTTTCCATGTTTTTGTAACACAAAAAAGATGTGCAATGACGTCACTGTCAAGCAAAATATTACTGATTACTTGTCATGCTGCTCAAATGTTGTTAATGAGTGTAACATGATGCTTTCTTGGATATTCAGAGGCCTTTTAAATAATTACTATTTTAGGCACGTCATTGAGATGACTGGAGTTGAAGAGATGATGGTGATGCTGGTCCTCCACATGTGCACGTACACAGTGTGGAGAGGTGAAGTCATAGTTAATAAAAGTATAAGAGGAAGTCACTGTCTGCAAACACAGACATGTCTAGAGGACAACTCCCTGTCCTGATGCAGCAAGTTTCCCTGAGCCATTAACATCTGTGTGTCTATAGTATCTGGACAGTGCATGCATATGTCAGCCTCAGTTCTGAATGACTGCACCCTTTACTTTGTGTGTCTGTGTGTTTATGTCTGCTCAGGCACCTGCATGGTGCTCTCTCGCCCAGAGCAAATTCTTACTGTAATGTGCCATCGAGGGATGTCTGTGGGTACTGGGCTTTTAGCAGCAAATCGTTGTTTCAAAGTGGTTGCAGCTGTTTTCGTTGAAGCAGTTGTGTATTATTCTGTCCAGATGCACAGGTGTTTCCATGAAGATACAGAATCTTCTATTTATTTTCTTCATGCATCTTTGTATAGCTATCTGATATTAAACAATTGCCATCTGACTGCATTCCAGCCATATGTTAAAAACTGTAACTACATCCATAAGTGGTCTATGGAAGTAGCACTGACCTTGATTTGCATGTAGTCTGGAAAAATGACGCATTACAATCAGATTAGGAATCGTAGGAGATGCATGTATGTGGCTAAGTGTAAATGAAAGTTTATTAAATCACATCTGGATTTTATTCAGACACGAAGTGTAAACGGAGCCATAAATGTAATGGATAGTGGCTCATATTTGGTATTAGATATCTTATTTTTTTTGGTTCTTGTGTACTGAAAATGTTTGTCCCTGTCTCTTCAGGTCAGGTGTACCAGCAGTACCAGGCTCCAGGTGGATACCCGCCTCAGCAACCAGGTGCCCCACCGCAGCAGCAGCAGTACGGTATGCAGTACCCTGGTAAGAGTAAAAATGGTCAGGATTTAAAAAGAAAAAAGGTAGCTGCTGTGTTGTGAAGTAAGGTGGCTCTCTTTCCTTATTAGAGTGAATTAAAGAGACTCCCTCCCTTCCTCCCTCTCTCTGCAGGATACAGCACTCAGCCCGGAGCCCCTCAACCTGCCCCCCAACAGCAGCAGCAGCAGCAATTTCAGAACTACGCTCCTCCCTCCTCCCAGGCTCAGGCCCCTGCTCCCGCTCAAGCTCCAGGCTTCCAGGGTGGCCAGCAGCAGCCTCATCCATCTCAGGCAGCCCAGCAGTATCCACCAGGAGCCTTCCCTCCCCAAAACTATACCTCCCAGGCCTCCCAGCCTGCTAACTACAGCCTGCCGCCCAGCTCTCAGCCCGGCACAGGGTACCAACCCCGCCCGGGATACACCCCTCCTCCAGGCAGCACCGTCACCCCTCCACCAGGAGCTGCTAACCCATACGCCCGCAACCGCCCCCCTTACGGCCAGGGCTACACTCAGCCAGGCCCTGGATACCGGTAAAAGAGGGTAGCGGATGTTACTGATCCTCACACACCCCTCCAACCCCTACCCTATATGTGGCTCCAACTGTTTGGCGTTGGTGCAGGAAATATGTTTTACTGCTCTGTATCCCCCCCCCTTACAATTATCAAGTCCAAATAAGAAACAAGCATCTCCCCCAGTCTGATGGTTAGTGTTTGTATTCTGTCTCTCCAACATACCGCTCTGTTCTGGCCCCGGTGTATGTTCCTTGTGTTATTTTTCCCGTCACCACCACCTCAGTCTGCTCTGCCCTCTTGTATCTGTCATTGTAAAAATGTAACCAGATGTATGCACACACCTGGGAGACCAAAACAGGCTGTTGCACAAACTCTTGTTTTAGGTTGTTTTTTTTTTTTTTCATGGTAACGCTTCATTTTGCGAGATCAGCATCCACATTCTTCATTTATGTCGCACATGTCAGTGACAAACATCTCAGCCGGTTGTGTTGAGTTAACTGTGTATAGATGCATTCATAAGACACTATCTCAATGAAATGTTACGTTTTTGTTGTGTTCTTTTCTTCTTTATTTGATCAATTTCACCACCATGTCGGTATTAATGATGTGTCAATGAAACTGCCCCATGTTGGGAACACTAGCTAAGTGATGGCTTATGGGAGGTGTAGATCCCAGTGTCATGAAGAAGGCCTCGTTTGTTTAGCTTGTTATATCACCTCCAGTAAAGCTTGCTATTCCTCTCTTTATCTTTATCTTATCACTGGTTTTTACTAATAAATCAAATTCCACCTTCAAGTGAGATTAGTTGTTTATGTATAAACTGTAACATTTTTTTCTTGAACCTAATAAATGATTGAGACCCAGCTGGAGTCCTTTTTTGTTTTGATATTGTGTTGCTTTTGGCCCAGTGCTGTCTTTCTCTTAACACTCCCTCTCTCTCCTTGTGGTTTCTGAGTTCATGTCTCTGTTAAGTTTGGCTTGTCTCTTCCTCTTCTCCCCCACCCAGATTTGGAAAAGTGTGGTAATGCTGGTATTCCTATTTTGTTTTCCTGCCTGTGGGTTGTGGTTGGCTGAGACATGTGGCATGCGAGTATGTGGCTCGTCTTTCATGTCGAACTGTCTCACTGAATGAGAAGAACTGAGTGCACATGGTTTATTAAGGATAATTTAGATTAGTGTAATTAGCGTCCCTCTTTAGCTGGTCTGTGCCAAGCTCTTATTAGATGTGTTTGTCCACCCTTAATGGTGTGCAATATTGATACAGTTTGCACAATGATAGGAATCTGGTTAGTGTCAAACCTCTGGAGTTAAATCCCATATTACACACTTCATTCCTATGTGTTCGGTCCAATTTAGATCAGAAATTAAAGAACCCCTCCAGACATGTATTGAGACATATAAACAAATAGACTACTGGTAACAATAATGTGTGTTTTTTCTGGGGAAAAAAAATTATATATATATATATATATATATATAATTTCCACATTATGTCCTTAAAAAGGCATTTACTCCTTCTAGCTGCTATCTATGAATATGCAAATTTGTTAATTTCTGAAAACACAAGATGTCTCTTACTTCACTTTGAAGTCCATTTTAGTGTGTGTACTGGCAGTTTCTACATCACACTTGTATAAGTTGCAAATTGGACCAGGTTTGACTAACAAAAAATGATGTCACAAATCATGCTCGTAGGCCCCGCCCCTTAAAATCCAATTTTCAATGAGCTCAGAGAAACTTTCCACTTTCAGCAGATGAATGTGAAAACATCCTTCTACTGTCAAACTGCACATACATCATTCTGCACAGTGAAGCTCGGACAAACAACTGTAGGAACTAGAAGAAAAACATTTTGATTGGAAGGGGAGTTTAAGCACAAAAACACCCTGCCAGTGACTATGCATCATAAAACCTAAAGGAAACGTTTTTGGGAAATATTTTTCAACTTTCCTGCAGAGAGAAGTATGAGGCTACGCCAGCTAACGTAGCTTGGCGTAAAGACTAAACGAGGAAACAGCCAACCTGGCTCTGTCCAAAGGAAACAAAATCCACCAATCAGCACCACTGTAGCACACCAATTAATATGTTATATTTGTTTTTTGTGCAGATTAAACAAACAAGATATGTGTTGCTATGTTTTGCTGACTGAGCCAGGCTAGCTGTTTCCAGTGTTTGTGCTAAGCTAAATACAGACATACAAGTGCATAAGCTTTCCCAAAACGTCAACATTTTCCTTTAATATGAGAGGCATTGAAGTCAAATGGAAATGAATATCAGTAAATATAAAAACAAGATTTATTACTGAAAACATACATGGTGCATCAAAAACAACTGCAGTCATGACAGATGTGGAAAAAACCTGGTAATGTCTCTCCAATGATTAATAGCTTTATGTACACGTAGTAAATTTGAACACAACAACATAAATTATGTCATTTGCTTATGTCATTTCCACCTTGAAGCTCAGTTTATTTATTTATAATTTTAATATTTTATTCTTTTATAAAATACAGGACAAGACTGCACGAGCATTACAAATACATAAATCTTTTGTGTCCAAGTGACCCCATAGAAACGTTGGGCTCAAGCTTTGGTTTTCTTACAATAGATCAACAATTTGGCTAAAGCTGTTTCATCTTTTACCTGAAATATATCAATCTACATGATCCCTGGTATACAAATTGTATTTCACACCATATACATATATGAACAAAAGTTTAATGCTGTGCAAACTGCAACTGCTAATAATCCATTAGGGCCAGCAGAAGGTCAATTCCGCATATCGTATCTTACATAGTCCAAATGTACGCAATGAAAGTATGATTGGCACCTTTCTCTACACAAATGCATGGGTGCTCAATGACATGCAAGTATTTGGAACAATTTTTACTTTCTCATCTCAAAAGCCAGAGCACACACAGAATATTCAGTAACAATCCCCTTGATAAATAATATCATACAAGTTATTACACTTTGGGAGCCAGCTTCCCAACATTTTCTCTGTGATTACTTTATATTCAACATTTTGGTTCACTCAAACTCCTGCATTCTTTCGACTGTTGTGACATTTTTGATAAATACAGAAATTAAGACCAATGTTACAAATGCAATCGAGGTTGGTGACACCTAATAGCCCTGTACAGGTTTCATGCCTGGGCGAGAGTCGAGTTCAAACAGACAGACCCATCTACAGTCTCCATGGTAACATGAAAGAAAGGCCCACCTCCCCTCAGGCCTAGTCAGGCATCCTCTTCTTCCACCAAGGAAGTCACCCTTCCTGGACAGCCTCGTGAAGTCTTACCACTTCCCAGGTATGGGTGTGCCGCACTCGTACCAGCCTACATAAGTAACATGTGACTTCCCTCCAATCTCTCCAAAGCTGACAGGCTCCTGTCTCATCGCTCTATAAAACCCTGGTACAAAGACACAGAGGAGGGATAAGAGTCTACATCACTAAAGACTTAAAATGATGATGATATTAATGGTTATGGCTAACCAGAATACCTGGCCTGCTTGGAAGCTGGTCAGCCATCATCTGGCTACCGGTCCGTCCATCCAGGAAGGAGTCCACAAACTGACAATGGTCCTCACCGTGTCCCGTCTGATCTCCGATGTTGTAGAACTTCCCTACAGAGGAGGCAGATGGGCAGATTTCTGATATTTGGCTTGTATTTTTGACATAATTTCAATGTTTCATTTCATATTTATTGTCAGTTTTATTGGTACATTTTTCAGGTGCATATTTTATTTTTCACTTTTCATTTATTTATTGAGCCATTGTATTAAATAAATTGTTTTCATTTAGTGGTTTGGGAGGCTCCCAAAAAAAGGTCCCCTTTGGAATATTTGTTTTTGACATCATCATCATCAACATCTGGGGATTTATAAAGTAATCTAATCTTCAAATGTAACATTATTAAGACAACACAACTGCAAATTCATTAATGGAGTTACCCTGAACAAGCCCAACCATTTTTGGGGGTTCTATGAAAACCCTTTAAAATAACTGAAGAATCGCATGTTCCTCTCTGGATTTAGGCCAATTTGAACCCCTAATAATAATGCAAACACATGCACTGTTATCCTACAACAAGGATGTTCTCACAGAGCTGACTTTTTGGAGACGTAGCGGATTTGTAATTTGCTGCTGGCGCCTGGGGGCCCTAAGCAGCTAATGTTTCAATCTGTAATTACCATGGAGAGAGTCACTCAGGTAGACCTTGTATCTCAGGGAGTTGCAGAGCTGGATGCCCACAAACTTTCGGTACCAAGTTCTCTTCACATATTGCTTTCCGTTGCATTCAGAGTAGGCGTCGGATTTAAACGGGAACTGAGTCCAGATGGCATCTTTGCCTGTGAGGGAATTCATTAGAATGTATCTGTTATTTGTTATCTCTATAAACAAGATCCAAAACTAGTTACAGTTCAACATTCTGCTTAATTTTGCCAGAACATATTGATAAGAAGAGAAAAAGATTCACCTGAAACATTTTCGCTCACTCGTGGATCCGCTACAAACGTGAGAGAAAGTTGCAATGAATAACGTCATCAAAACAACTTATGATCAACACACAAGCATGAGACATCTTGAATTATTGTGCTAGACAAACCCAGACTTGTATCAGAGCCCATTTGGCCTAGTATTTACAATGTTCAGCCCCAACAGGCAGCGCTTTGATTGCACAAGGGCAGGAGGCCAATTAAGCAAAGAATTCCCCCCTCAGTGTTGTCATTGTGAGTTTAAAGACATGTGATCAACTCAGGGCTGTGCTTCAGCTGCCCTGTGATTGGTGCAGATTTAGCTTTGTTCAGAGCGCTCTGATCACCAGGTGGATGATATGCCTCTGTTAGAAATGAGCCTCAGAGGACATCTGGTGAGCTGACAAGACCCTTGAGTCTTAATTATTCAGACCCCAGTGCCATGTTGAAACTATTAGCCTAACAACTGCCTAATGGCCCACCTTCTGAGATTCAAAGCAATGCTGATCACTGCCTGATAGTTAGCAACGTATACAGTGGCATCAACATGCAACTAATTAACCTCTTCTATCAGAGCAAACACATCAGGGTTTATCAGGAATTTCCTCTTGTATGACTTTAGTGGATTAGATGGTTTGTAAAACTTGCCTGATTCTGTGCTAAAAGTCACAGGATCACTGGAGGGTCCTGTTCCCAGCTCATTCTTTGGTGTTACTTTGAATTCATAACTGAAATAAAATAGAAAAAAAGGGAATAAAAGGCATAATTCAAACTTTCAGGAGTTTTCAGTCTAAATTCCTTCCAACTCCAGAACTGGGACGCATAATATTTTCACGGTTAAGAATTGGTCTCACACACAAAGACATACACACGCACACACTCGCACACAGGGCTGATGGTTATTCCACGTGCTGCGTTCAGATGTCCTGGCAATAGTTGGGCCAGCAAACCCAGCCCAGGGGAGGGTTCTGGTGAGTTCTGAGACTCCAGATGCTAAGATCTAATTAAAAACTCAGTGACCCTCTCCACCCAGATTTCCTCAGCTTTTGTGTCGCTTTGGCCATTTTGTGTTTGCAAAACCAAACATAATCACTGCCTGTGCTGAAAGAGTACAAGTGATACCTTCAAACAAAGCACACTAATAGCTCTTCAGGGACATTTAATACTCTGCAGTGACCTGTACTAATGTAATCAGCCAGTTAGTTCAAGCATACAGTATTTGTTAAAGGTGCCCCTGGGAATTTCTGCCCAAACAAAAGAAATGTTTACTTTCAGTGTTAATCACCAAGACACATTGTCTGTATCCTTGAGGTCTTACAAACACAATGTATGCATTTTTCAGTTTTCAGCTTGAAACCCATCCATGTTTATTAGCAATTAGCCTTCACTGCCTTTGTATTCACCTGTTGATCAGTGGAATAGTGTGACACCACACAGGAATATGTATTACGTCACCTGTGTGCACATGGGCACTAAGTCCATCCTCGTACGCTTGCACAACACAACTCACTCATAGAAAACTGCTACATAGTGCTACAAAAACTCCACCGGAAACATTTAAGCAAAAGGTTTATGTAAAAAACGTTAATGTTAAATGTAAATGTGAACCTTCCTTTTTGACAAAGGTTTACATTAACATGACAAATTGTCAAAGTCACCTGGATGTTCTAGCCTCCACTGACACGGATGCGCCTGTGTGCTGGCTGGATGTCAAATGTTTGCCAGAAATGACTCTCCTTGATTTTAAATGTGATTCTCTGATGGAAGTTGCTGGAAATGATTCAGCTCTTCCTGGATGTGTGCCTGCTACACCTGCTAACAGCTGGGTCAGTGAAAAGCATGCTGACCCTTTTCATGAGCAAAGTAACCCCCCTTGAAAGGTTATTCCAGTATTTTTAAACCTGTTATTACATAGGCTATTTTGGGGTCTAAATGACTAATAGGTACAAATAGTCTTGGAACTGGTCCAGGAGATCAGCCTCAGTCAGCAGCCTAAAACTGGATGCAGTGTCAAACGTATGTCCCCTGAAAGTGATCTTACTCTAACAAAAAGGTCTGTCTCTGTAGAGATACTTTCCAAGTTTGTCACATACTTGGAATAACAATCTGAATAAGTCAGGGGCAAAAACAAGCACTGTTAGTGGACGTACTCTTGACAGGAACAATTGCCCCTAAGGACTACATTGCAATCATTGTAGTCCATTTTGCAGCTGCCGGATACTGGACCAATTCCAAAACTTCATTTAGACCCCAAAATATGTAAACATAGGACCCAGTTTTAAATCACTGGGTAATTACCCTTTAACCAGAGGTGAAGCTTTGAGGAAGAGGAAGAAAATAGACACTCCCTTACCATACAGTTCTGCTGAACCCTCAACATCCCGTGAGGCCGTTAGCAGAACCAGAGCCCAAAAAATAGCCTGCAACCAGCCGCAGAGCTCTGCTAGCCCAATTCCACAATAATACCAACTACGTCATGCTTGACAAGCAACTCAAAATGAAATCAGAAGAGGCAAGGAGACAGAAAAACGAGCTGCTGAAGAAGAATGCGTATTTTCATTCCATTATATCCTGCGTGTGTGAATGCTTATGAGAGTTTAAATATGAGGGAATTGTGAACAGTAAAACTACCTCACATTTTATATGGTCACCAGAACAATTTGAGCAGAAATCCACCAATAACATAAGGATGAAGCAGTCAGAGATCACAAAAGAAAGCCTAGCCAGGACTTCGGAGTATGCCAAAAAGACAATAAATTGTCTTTGGTCCCATACCCATGAAAGGTAATCATCATGAGATGTACAATAGGCTTACTTCACTGAACTACTGGTCAGCTTGTTATTAGTGAGCAGGGATTTGGTTTTGTGGATAACTGGCCTTCTTTCTGGGTCCACCCAGACCTGCTGAAAGCAGACTGCGTTCAGCCTATGAGAATAGGTGCCACTACTTTATCTAGGAATATATACTAGGAATATGTCAAGTTTGACATCAGGGACCTAGCTTGGCAGGTAAATATAGGGCCTGCTAGGGTTATAGTTTATAGGATTTGGAGTCCACTAGCCTGACTATCAGACTAATAATCCTCTGTTTGTTTGTCTCTCTCCCTACCTAGTTTCTCCTCGTATTAACTTTGCATTCTGGCTTCTCTGCGCTGGACCATCTGCTGTCCTAGGACCTCTCTCTCTCTCTCTTTCTCTCCGTTGGCTGTCCATGCCTCATTCCAGATGTTTGGATCTGGATCTTTGTTCTCCAGGAGGATTCAGCCTCTCCTCTCGTCTCTCTGTCTCTCTGTCTCTCTCTCTCTCTCTCCCTTGTGTGCATGTTGTCCTTGTCTCTCTTTCCCTCAGTGTGTTTGTGTGTGTTTGATCCTCAAAGGATAGAGGGTGTAGAGTACAGACTGTGATTTGTGATATTGGGCTGTATAAATAAATTTGACTTGACTTGATGATACACAGTGAGAGTACCTGACCAACTGGAAGACTAAAGGAAAAATATTTGAAGGCAGCATTTTTCCATGACATAATTTGTCCGACAATAATATCACAAACCTGCTCTCTGGTTGGAGATTCTCCACGGCTGTGTGTGTCTGGTTGGTCGTCAGTATGGACACCTCCTCTCCGTGTGGTCCTTTAGTTTTGGATACAACTTCATACTCTGATAAAGGAGCCAGAATATCAGTCAGCTTTAAATAACACAAATTTAAACTTTTTTTATGACAGAGATGTGAAATCTTGAGGCAGGATATTAAGATGTAACATTGAAAGACTTCCAAAGCACCCAAATATGATCTACCTGTAATCCAATAAAGGTATACATGGGTTATATTTTAGCTTTACTAATGGTTAAAAAGCAATTTATTAATTTTGGCTGTATTCCAGAAGGTAAATGGTCCCAAATTGGAGGGGTCTAGTTAAAAGCCTTTATCAAGTATGGCTTATTTACATTCGTACAACCTGCTGAGTGGGAATGGACTGAAGAGCTAATTTCCCAAAGCAAAACTAGACTTGCAAGCAAGTGTAACGGGGTCCAAGCACCCTGACGCAAAGCCTAACCCAGAGGCTCACCGGCCTGAGAAGCTGAGAGCTTCACTGAATTTAAATCACAGATCAGTTGTTCTTTAAAAATGTCAGCCTTTTCGTTTACCATACCTCTGGTTTCATTGTCAGATTTCTGCCAGTCAAGAATGACGAAAGACGGGCAGCCCTCCACAGTAACCACAGTGAGGTTGGAGGGAGGTATTCGGGGAGGACCAGTGACATTCTGATCGCTGCCCTCCTCATCAGGGAAGTAAGAGAGGGAGGAGGTGATAGAGCATGGCTCATCTGGCTTCTTATCCGTCTTGTAGATCACATGGGGAGCTGTACACAGGCGCAATAAAAGTAATTCCATTATGCCCACCACCCTTTTCATTCTCATTTATTCATGTAGTAGTATCGAGTAGTGTTGCTAGAGAGCTGATGATTTCAGTGATGAAGAATTTTAAACCTGCAGTGGAGATGTAAATCGGGCTTACCTACAAAGCGCTTCTTGCCCATGATGTCTACCTCTGACGCAGGCATAGGCCTGAATATGGAGGAGTTTTCATTTATGTCAAAACGGCTGCCTGAAAAGAAAGCAGGAGAGTGGAGTTGGTGTTAGTTTGATGTGCCAGCAGTTCCTGGCAGCTCTCTCTGTCCTCGTTTTTATAGCTCTGGCTCAGGTCAACGACCAGCCAGGCCAGCACCTGCTCTGGGATGCACTGGGCTCTTTGTCTGGCTCTTAGAAAGTGTTCTCCTTTCTTTTCTCCATCTTATTACAATACACACCTGCAAAATGCAAGAGGCTCACTAATATCCCCTGATAATTATCGCTTTCATGCATTGACTCAAAGCATGTACAATCACATATTATCCTCTCATTCATGGAGGTCTTCCTCAGATACATGAAAAGTTGTGTCACTCGTACTGTTTACTGCCGGGGCGGAGGTGGTTGTCTGCTGCCTGCGCTCTTGCTTGGGCTTGGCTGTGACCTGAGGGAATGGCTTCAAGATGGAATCCTTGTCTCCTTGTTTCAGGTCCATGGGTTTATCTGAGGACAGAGAGCAGGAGGAGGAGGAGGAGGAGAAGAGATCAGTTCTTCACCCTGATCATCTGACTCACAGTCATACACAGTTGTGATCCATCTGCTCTGGCCATCCTCACTGAGCAACTCAGTGGCCTTTTCCTGGCTGCTGAAAGATCAGAGTTTGCTTGTTCAGTAATATCTCTTGCGCTCTTTAAAGAGGAAAAAGGTCTGCCAGAATACATCTACTGAGACCAAAGATGCCCAGATGCTCAGAACCATGCGCTTACTCACACACACACACACACACACACACACACACACACACACACACAACACACACGCACAAATACTGGCTTTGTCTGCATTGTGGAAACAGAGAGAAGGGAAAAAGATAGAAACAAATGACAGAGAGAACAGTGTGAGTCCAGAAAAGAAGTCTTAGCAACAAGACTGCTGAGATGAGTCATAATGTTAGGATGAATGCTGTTTTGGTCACATAAGACAGTGGTTCTCAAACTATAATGGAGGGCGTAGAGGCACTGCAGCCAACACTTGACCTTGTGGAAAAATGTGTAGTGGAACTAGAGTTGAATAACTCTGCTTCATGGGACTAATAAATAAACAAGTGTGCTTTCACGCTAGCAAGGCTATGGAGATTAAGCTCAGCAGGCTTCATTCAGACAACAAAACAGCAAGAAAAATACAAGATGGGCATATCATTCTCACTGAAGTTAGTTCTGTTTCAGGTCCACTGTCAATATAGCAAACAAGATTTGTGTCGTGTGTGTCTTCACACAAACTCTGACAGTTTGGGGGAAACTTAAATGAGATTGACACCACTCTCATGTCTGCAATAATTATGAAGCTACAGTCAGCAGCTAGTTTAGGTTAGATAAAGACTGGAAACAGCTAGCCCAGCTCTGTCCATTGGGTAGCAAAATCCTTCTTATCAGCACTATAAAGGTAACTTTTTATATCTTGTTTAATCCAGATGAAGGAAGTGTATAAACCATGGTCTTCAACCTGCAATTTCCCAGCTTGGGATCAATAAAGTATATCTATCTAACCTCGGTTCTTCTCTTGTTTCTTGGCAGAATTTGATACGTTACCTTTCATACAAAGCTAGGTCAGCTGATTGCCCCTGCTTACTGTCTTTTTGCTAAGCTAAGCTAACCTGTACCTGGCTTTAGCTTCATATTGACCATACACGAGACAGACATGAGAGCGTATCAATCTTCGCATCTAACTCTCTGCAAAAAGCTAAAATAAAAATCAACTATACTGTGACTTGCATTTTTAACAGATCGAAATTCTTGATGTTTCTCGATATTATTTCAATAAAACAACAACTTGGCTTATATGGTATATAACAATAATATGATCAATGGTTGATAAAAATGAATTGGTTTACAGAGGGGTGGGATAATTATTTTCTGCATTGAAAGGGAGGGATGAAGGAAACATTTGAGAACCACCGGCTAAAGAAGCAGCTTAGGTCAAGCCTTCCCTAGACCTACTGTTGTGTGTACAGTAAAGGTGCAGTAGTGTTTAGTGTGGTAAGTACAGCCATCAGAATTGCCCTCACCATGGTCACTAGGTTTCCCCACCAGGTTGGGTTTCTTGTTGACAGGAATAGAGGGACGCAGAACTGCAGGGAATTGTAGGAAACAAGAGTCCATTTCAGAATAAGAATCACATTGAAACAGAACAGGTGGTCGGCACTGAAGGAGAGATACAAAACTGAAAACAACTGTTTTTGGTTATTTTAATAGTGCAATAATGATGAAAGACTGTCAAAAAGGGAAATATTTAGCAGGACAGAAGACCACAATAATACTGTGTACTAAAAAATGAGTACACAAACAAAGGCATAATACAAGCAACAATAAAGCACATAAAAGCCAAGCAGATTGCATGTGAAATGCTGAAATGTCACTTTGTGAAGTGCTTGCCATGGTCTATGACTAATATAAACCATGTCAGAGTTTAATAACCATGAAACTATAAACCAGTGCTTTAAAGACTCACCCTAAAGCCCCAGAAGAATAACTGAGGAATTTAAGAATCCTTAGTGAATCCTAAACAGAAAAGTAAGGTAGCAGGTCCAATAACTTTATTTAGTATGGTTCTGACTCTGTTCTATGAAAAATTATTTTGGATATGATGCAGATTGACCACCAAATTTTCCACAAAATTCCTGCACCACAGAGAAAACAATAAAATAAAGATCAAGCCAAGCTGTCAGACAAAGACCAGATCAGTTTCACTATAAACTGCTTTAATAAACACAAGGAATTAATTTGCTTTAGTGGACTGGATAAGTAATCACAAGGAGGAGCAAAGCTTTGGAATGAAAACACCTCAACTACAAACTGTCAAACTCAGATTTCTTAACACGGGGGTTCTGCCTTAAATAAACACTGTTAAAGCAGTCTTCCTGAATATTTGTTGTAATATCTTAGAGGATGTGGAGAAGCTCTAGGAGGCTTGACACATCGAGTTTGCTTTACACGTTTCATATCTTGAGTTGCTTAGGGGTAATCCATTTTGATTCTTGTGATTCATTTCCAGAGCATCCACTCCCTGCATCATTTCTCACTTACTTATCTCAGGGATTCATTAATGGTCATTCTGTCAACAAGATACTGTAATTTTCCAAAAACATTTGTCTTGGATTTGTTTCCTCTTTGGAGCTGACCTTCTCCTGGTCAACATAAATCAGTGATATCTGGAATCTACTCCCAAGAGAAAAGAGTTGAAGCTATCAAGACAAACTGAAACAACATCTGCCAACAAGCCTCACTGATTAACCCTGAGAATATTTCCTAAGAGTGCCTCTGACTCATACATGGTATAACTGACAGCTAATGGCAAACATATGTTCATACACAAACACACATGATATGATGATGCAGTAATTTAAATGCCAGCCTGAAGATTTACAAACACAAAAGACAGGGTTATGTGAAATGAAGGACTGACAGCTCAAGAGAATGATGTCATGATTAACTGGGCAGGAACTAAGAACAAGCCATCATGATGTAATCTGATAAGATAATAGTAATATCAACAATATATACGTAAACAATATGTCTACAATGTATAAAATATCATCAGGTCGATGTTCTACGGTTACTATAGAGGGAGCGTTTGGTTTGCTCTTGTACAATAAACCCCTCAACCAGAAGGCATAGTCTCTGATCTGCCAAACCCCTCAGATATGTGATGTAAAACAGCAGCAGTGGTGTGAGTGCTGGTTTCTGTCAGATAACTTCCTCTTCAGGACAAGAACGTAAAAATACTTGCAATCGAAACACGGAGACTCACATTCAGTCCAGAAAAATATTCCCACTGAAATACATACCAGTGTCTCACATCACTGGGGTTGTTGCTTTTTGCAACACACACTCAGATTTCATGGATGGACACTGTCCATTACACACCTGCAGTCCACTATAAGCAAAGCTTTGAAACAAATTCAACTTGAAATGCCAATATGAATTCTATAAAACTGTTTATATAAACTGACACCAATAGCAAACTCCGTTCCAGCTTTTGGTTACAATACAAAAATGCAGTGCTGTTTGGTATAAGTAATAATGATAGATTTATTTGCATGTAATTTACTTTATGGGGGCAAGAAGGTGAACTGTGTCGCTTTGTGCTTGGGTATGTGTGCAGGGTGGCAGACAAAATGACTATTCTTTATTGTAGAGCTGCTTCCAGAGAGCCTTGTGACTCCTTGAAGACCTCTGAAACCGTCAAAGTTTCCAGAAATAACACACACCAGCTGTGACATGGGACTGAAGCACAACCTCTTTTCACAACTCTAAACAACAAGGAGTGAGCGGAGCGTCATCATTAATACATGTGGTCCAGACGTGGTTTGTTGGGAGATGGATTCAATTACTCCAATTAACTGAGCCTGCCTGGCAAAATGGAAACAATGTGATTGACCAAAGAAGGGTAAACCACATTCACCTTTCACAACAAGCAGGCTAAAGCTACATTCAGACTAATTCAAGCCAGTTCCTGATTACAGGTCCATATGTGTGGTAGACTAAATAATGTGGAGAGGACAGGTATATCCCAAAATTAGAATTATATATGGCTTCAGTCTCAGTCAAGTATATGCTACTAGGACTACACTGGACAACACAGACCACGACCAGACACAAAACATCACACTGACAGACAAGTTGTAAATCACAAAGCATGAGAGGATTGTGACAACAGCACAGATCAGTGTGACTATGTGGGACGGGACATAACAGTGGCTCTTGGTTAGTGAGTGAGGAACGCTGAAAGGCAATTATCTTGATTTGTCTTTACCAGGTTTCTCTTTGGACCACACCACAGGTTTAGGAAGAGCAATGCCCCTATGATGCGCCCGATCGGCTGTTGGAGGGAGAAAAAGGTCTGTTATAAAATGTTTTGTGTCACTGTGGCAATCACACCAATCCCAAATAAGAAGAAGGTCAGAAAGAAAAAATGTTTGTCTTGCTTTCTCACTGTCCATTTTCTTACTTTTCTTGCTGTCGAACGTCAGTGACAATAAAGCTGGAGACTTGTTTGTGTTTTCAACCTGGTTTTACAGATGTTCTGGATACAAATGGATGACTTACATAAATTCTATCGTTTGACATTTCTCATTCTCTCTCTCTTCTTCTGTAACTCTTTGGGGAGTGTGTTTGAGAGAGAAAGAGAAAGAAAAAGAGAGATTGGCTGTGGCGGCTGTACTGTCTACACAGTGCTTGGCTTGGCATAGTTGGTGTAAAATGTGGTGTGTCCTGGCCAGTGCTGTGGCCAGACTTCCCATCCGGCCAGCAAGAGGGACCGTAAATCATGTTAACGATCCTGACCCCAGAGACGCCACTGCTGCTCGTGGTAAAGCTGTGAAATATACACCGAGCACATGTGGCAGAGTGTGGAGGAGAGGAGGTGAAGCAGAAGTTGAGCGAGAGAAAGAGAAATGCACAAGCATCCAAATGTCTATTGTATGCATTCAAACAGATCATTTGCTAAATCAAGAGCCACAAGTTTGTTTGTCTTCTTCTGTAGATGCACAGCTGCAGATGAAAGCGTGAGAGAGTGTTGACAGGAGAGGATAACCTGAGGTAGCTACTTGGGAAGAGAAAAAGAGAAGAAGGGATGTGAGTACTCCATTACCCCCAGGTGTGCTGGAGCTGTGAGAGTTGGTGAACGTCTTGGATGGAGAAATTTGTCGGACCCTATTATGAGTGGAATGAGGAGGAACCCGGCTGCGAGACAGCGTGGTGTTTCTTCCTCCTGAAGGAACTGATGAGCTAATGGGAGAACGAGGAACTTCAGCAATGGATGATCTGATGATGCCAGTACCTAGATGAGCAGAAAGGCAATTGGGGAGGTTAAGGATGATCCACTTTGGAGCTTGACTGCTTTACCTATATGGAATAAATGATAGAGCACATCAGTGAAAAAGAATATAGAAGAGTGGACAATGAATGAAATGACAGAGAGGCATACATGAGATCGAAAGCTATCCAGACTGCTCTGGTTGTGAGTGGGCAAGGGTGAGGTGACTGTGCTGGGCTGAAAATGGAGGCACACATGGAGGCAGGGATAATGATGAAGTGGGGTGGAGTGGTGTAGGGTGGTAGGATGGAGATGGAGATGGGGAAGCAGTGACATCATCCAATGGTTTGAAGTACAATTGAAAGCACTGGGTTCCATGTGACTTGACAAAAGCAAAGATGGTGATGGGACAAACTTGTCATGGTGTTTACCCTGATTGTAACTACCAGCATTCTCTGTAGCCAGGGCAGGTCTTGGTAGAGGCTTGCCCTCTTCTGGTCGACTAGGAGCTGTATGAAAGAAAACTCACTATTTATCTAAGATAATATGTATATCAATATATATTTGACTTTTAAATGGGGCATATCCTACCCTTATCTGTTAAAGCACATGTCATTTTTAAATCAATGCACCTCTTAAGAGTAAATGTTGTGATCATGATATACATGAAGAGTGAAACTTGTTCATGTAGTCAGACAATGCAGAACTTTGACTGGAAGATCAATTTAGATTGCATGTTTTCTATGAACTCTTTACCAATTGAAAACATTTAATCGTGGCTTGGAGGGTTTTCTAAATACAAAATCTATTGAAAGGATAGATTTTGGGAAACTCATTGAGATTACCTGAAAATTCTTATAATATCTTTTTTTGACAAGTTTTCCTTAATTAACAGTACAACTAAACTTTCAGTGAATATGCCCCATTTAAAATGTAACTTTGGATATGGTCTTAATACTTGATTGTGTGGATTGCTGATGGCAAAAAGTAGGGTCTTTACCCGTAGGGACAGCCTGCCTTGGGGTGACCTTGGTAGGATCAGAGTAGGTCCTGGTCTGAGACTGAAAGGGAAGCCCAGGTTGAGGTTGTGGTTGGGGCTTAGATGTAGGGTGGGGCCTGGATAGAGGTTCAAGTTGGGACTGGGTCTTAGTCTTTTGTGTAGGTTGTGGTAGGGAAATGGGTTGAGAATGAGTTTCAGGTTGGGAGAGGGTCTTAGTTGAAGGTTGAGATTGGGGCCATGGCTGAATCTTTTGGTGAGGTTGTTTGTCTCTTGTTTGTGGACTTAGTTGCTTTTTTTGTTGAGACTTTGGCTGCTTTTTTGATTGAGGTGGTTGTTGGGGCTTGGGTTGGCTATTTGGTTGAGGCCTTGCTTTGGGATTGGGTTGGCTCTTGGGTTGAGGTTGTGTTTTTGGCTTGAAAAAATTTATCTTTGGTTTAGGTGTTGGTTGGACCTTATACTGCTGTTTGGTGGTTAGTTGAGGTTCTGGTTTGATTTTTAGTTGAGGTTGTGTTTGGGTTTGTGGTCGAGTTGTAGATTGTGGTTGAGGCTGGGGCTTGGGCTGGATGTAAATCTTTGGTAGTGTTTGTTGGGTCTGAGGTATGTGCTTGAGTGTTGGTTGAGGTGTTTGGCGATGTGCCACAGGTTTGGGTTTAGGATCTGGTTGAATTTGATGCTGGGTCTGGGTCTTTAGTTGCAGTTGTATTTGAGGTCGGGCCTGGTGTTTGGGCTGGAGTATTGGTAGAGGTGTTTGACGATGTGCCACAGGTGTGGGCTGGGGATCTGGTCGAATTTGATGCTGGGTCTGGGTCTTTAGATGCAGTTGTCTTTGAGGTTGGGCCTGGTGTTTGGGCTGGAGTGTTGGTAGAGGTTGTGGTTCAGCCTGGAGCTGGGTTGTGGTTTGAGACTGTGGTTGGGGATGAGGCTTTGGCCGAGGTTGTAACTGAGGTTTGGGCTGGAGTATGGATTGGGATGTTGGTTGGGGGTGGGGTTGCAATTGCTTCTGGGGCATGAGCTGGGATGATGGTTGGGGTTGTGGTTGGGTCTGGAGTTTTGGCTGGGATGTTGAGTGTGGTAGGGGTTGGGTCTGGAGTATGGGCTGGTATGATGATTGGGGTTGTGCTTGGGTCTGGAGTATGGGCTGGGATGTTGGTTGAGGTTGGGTCCTGGGTATGGGCTGGGATGTTGGTTGAGGTTGGGACTTGGGTATGGGCTGGGAAGTTGGTTGGGTCTGGTGTTTGGGCTGGGATGTTGGTTGAGGTTGTGATTCAGGTTCGAAAAAGGGTTTTGGTTGAGGCTGAGCCTTTGCCTTTGCCTTGGGCTTTAATTTAGGTTTATTGGTTTGGGGTTTTGGTTGTGGTCGATAGTGCGGCCGGAGCTGGGGGTTTGGTTGAGGTTGGGATTGGGGTATTTTTTGTTGTTTCCTCAGAGGATGCCCTCCAAGCTTCTCCATGTTTGTCTGGGAGACTTGCACAGTCGCCATGGTGGCTGTAATGTGTAGTGGAGGACGGAGCTTGGGAGCTAACAGGACCTCCAGGGAAGGAGGCAAGACAGATCTGGAGAGGTCTATTCCTCCTGGGTTGTGTGAGAGAGAGAAAATATGGCCATGAAGCCACAATGCTGTGCTGTAAAATATAATTTCAAATATAAGATTCTGTAGGAAAGATTATTTTACAAAATAAAATAAAACAAACGTTATTTTATTGTCTAAAAAATTAGGAAAGCAAGACACAAAGGCAGTTACAGAACAGCTGAAATTTAGATCAGTAGAAGCGCCAACAGCTACTGGCCTGAGAACTCACAGAGCTTATCCTGGACTGAAGCACAGGTTACACAATAACTTCTACCTGGCACTAATCTGATAGAGGGGGTCTAATTTTAAAGGCAGACTGACCATATGGAGGTATTTGCAATGTAACAGCCGTGTTACTACAGACAGATTTAGCTACCAGGGCCAGGATGTCTGTGAGCGACGGCCATCCAAATCCATTGGCTGTGCCTCTAAGAGGCCATGACACATGAGGGTTTAATAGTTTCTGATTGATTGCTTGTGGTGTGATTTTGATGGACCATTCTTAATTGATTGTTCAATCTGATCAGATGTTAACCTCAGTGAAAGAGAGTAAGAAAAAAAGAGAGAAGTCAGAAAATAAGAAACAGAGAGCAAAAAAAAAAAAAAAAAACATAACAAAAGGAAGGCAATGTAAACATGACATTTCAGGCCTTTAGTATGTCTACTCAACTTTATGGCCTTGTAATGTTTAAAATATTGCAGTTTTTTGGGGTTGTAGGCTAATTTAGTAGAAATAAACAAGCAAGAATATGGCCAAATGATTATTTACAGAAATTACTTGGAAATGGGAACTATAGCTGTGTCTCAATACAGGGACTGAATCCTCCAAATCAATGCAGTGGATTCTTCAGAAAACCTGAGGGCCAGACTGAGCCTGAGTCTCTTTCCCAAATGACACCAAAACTATGGTGTATTCACATTTTCATTCATACATCACGCCACTATGTGGAACCACTATACTTTTTTCAAATTGAATTGCCCTTGGGTAGTTTCTATTTTTATTTCTATTCTCATCTTATTTTATTATTTTTTTTAAAAATTCCCCTGTTTACCTGAACTACTTCTTCCATCTGAATTTCCCCTCTAGGATCAATAAAGACTTATCTTATTTTTAATTCAGTCATTTTGGAGTTCATCACTACAAAGCTGTCTTCAAATGCTCAACAAAGAACCACAAAATAGTAAATGGGTTTCAGTTTTCACTCCAACACATGATGGACAACTGGCAAAACTGTATATATAACACTTTAAGCAGTGATTGATAGCTACCTGAATTCACCTGTATGTATCAACTGTTGTAACAGTTGTATCCTTCAAATCCAGGCTGCATTTGAAGGAGCCTTTGAAATTGAACAGATCCATCTGGTCATATTCAGATGTATCCAGGCCCTGAATTGGGACAATTGTATGACCAAAACTCTATCTTTAGTTAATAAGAATTAAGGTCACTTGCAAATATAATAAAAGATAAATGTTGGAAAAGGGGAGGGCCACAGAAGGACAGGGTAATACAAGTACAAGAAAAGAAGTTGATTTAAAAAAGTCTGCTCAAGTTCCTGCTGGAGAGAGAGGAATGTCTGGTGCATGCAGTTCTGTCATGCAGACTTCACACCATCGCCATCGCCTGCGCTGCATTGAAAATAAAAGCCTCAAGTCTGTAATGAGCAGTAATGGTGATAAATAATCATACTGTAAATACTGAAAGAAAAACCTGAGTAGTTAAATTGCACAACATATTATCTTATATAGTGGCATGGACTGATGCAAGATCAATTTGGTAATAATGGATTTACAAATGACAGACATGTGAGAAAAATACTGTCTGTATATTTGAGATATGACTGATCTGAAATGACTGAGCGAGACCTAACAAGGTTCTCAGTGCTGGACAAAAGTCCCATTTTTCTCAAGAACAGTCCTCTACTGCTCTTTCGACTGGTGACCTTGTCTAACTAATTTTCAATTCGAGTCATGACCTGTGATCAAATTGTGTATATTATATTATATCTATATTATATCTTGCAAATCAGTCACTGTAAAAAAAAAATCCCTGCAAGCTTCGTGGTTTTACTTAAATGCCATGCAGCCAAGGCCACCTACCTTACCCTCATTATTGCCCAGCTGACACCATCGGTTCCCACAGGGATGGTCCATCTACTGTACTCTCAGAGCATGCCACTCTTGCTCATGCAGCTAATTATAAAGGACACTGTAAAGCACTGACAGCCTCTCAATTACCCTCTGCCAAGTCTATGACTACACACAGCTGGAATGAGAGCCATGAAGCTTTTTAAAAAGAACCATGATTCACTGTTTACCGATTGGCTGTTTGGTGACCACAGGCAGTGTGGGTCCAGGGGTCGACAGAGATTCCTGTCTAGTAGATGTGGTTGGAGCTGAGAAATATAGTGTATGTTAGTAGACCTGCGAGAAAAGTTATTACTGTATGTCCTGCATAATGTACAAAAGACTGGCGTATGTACAGTAAACAAGGAGCTAAGATTTGCAGGATTGTGACAGAGATGTCAGGTCGAATGGTCAGATGTCAGGTCAAGAGTTTTTTCTGACCTCTGAACTTAGCTTTAGGTCAGAAAAGTCATTACCAAGAGTTGTCTTTGGGGCTATGTTCCGGGAGAGGGGCGGTCTGCCCTGGGTCCTGTTAGGGTGAACTGACAAGGACAAGGGAGGAGAGATTTAAGTTACAAGTAAGATGCCTTCTTAGTCCTGAAAAAAAGAATTATGTAAAGAAATGATGTTCATCCCAACAGCAAATTGTGTTGTTTGTATTATATTTTTGTCTTAAACCCATCAACAAAATGTTCAATGTCAGTATTTAACAATTGCTTATTCCTACAATATCTAAACCTGGCATCCTAATTTCTTTTGCCACATGGGGGCAGTGGAAACAACCTGTAAACACAACACTGACATATTAACACAATTTAAGTTGATAGGGTGGAGAGCCTATGTTTCTGGCCGCCAGGAGAATATAAATCCAGTAACGTTCATTCTCTGTTTTTGGGTTTCACCCACTCCTGATGGAAATATTTTGCTCTTTATTTTAGCTAAATGCTTCACTGTGTTCACTCTTTGGTGCAGGACAAGTAGTGTACACAGGGTTTTTGGCTGAAAACAGCTGCCTGCTGGGTTCATCCCTACAAATGACCCTCAAGGTACACACAGTTATTTCAGCTATTGACTTGTGGAACATAATATTTTGCGCTAAACCCATCATCACAGTTTCAAAACAGCTTTACTGTACATAGCATCTGCAATAATCCAGCAAAATTAAAATTGTGAGTTTTAAAGAAGTGAGACTGGATATGATGAGGTTGTGTCTGCAAAACAATAAATCAACATTCTAGTTAAAATTCTTCCAGTGCTGAGTCTCAAAGCAGGGATCAGTGAGAAGGGCTGAAACAGACATTTCTGAGCAGCAATAAATCATAGGATGATATGAAAATTCTGCTGCTGTATTAAAAAGGGTTCAGTGGGTTTGACCAAAAGCAACATGTCTCTATTGGCTTACCATGGCGAGGAGCAAAGGGGAAGGAGTGTGGACCTGGTGTTAAAGGTTTCTGAATGGTGAAAAACAAAAAGGACAAGGGGAAGAATTATTCTCTGTAATGATCACAACAAGTCAAAGTATTGGTATTGGCATCTCTTTCTCTGTGTTTCAGAACTCTTAGGCCCTACTCCATGTCAAATTGGTTAAGTCCCTGGTGAGAAGCTTGTTATTTGAAGTTTCCCTCTGGAAGGGCAAGTGTCATGGCTGATTCGCAACAGCTGTGATGTTTTACGAGTACAGAGCCAGGAGCATGTGACACATAAGCCTTGCATTCTCCTAAATCAGTGCCACCTTCCTCCTCTCAACTCATTTCCACGCCGTTATCCTTCCTCTTCTGTCCTTCCTTCTCATCTCCTTCTTTTTCTCTCTTTTGTTCCACTCCAGAAGTTAGCTAGCTACAGACTGCTCTCTTGGCTGGGCCGGTCCTGGCTGCACTGGTGCTGTTTCCATTCGGCAGTTGGATGGAAAATTAATGAGGCAAACAACCCTGAGAATAGCATAAGCTCACTAAAGTGTGCACAACACAGGCTCTGAAGCATATTGGCTTTTCCAAATATACACCATGTTCCCAAAATATTCATTTTGAGGAGAGGAAGTGTACCTGGGCACTCTCAGTGTGCTCACTAGTTTGTGACACCTATTTCATTTAGCATATTGTACAACTATTGGTGCCTCTATCCACATATTAATACAATAATACTTAAATGTATAAGGAATTATAAAGTGTGTCCAATACATACCACAGGGTTGACAGGATGTTTAAAGATTTTCCTGATGGCCTTCTCTAGAAATACAACACAAGATAAGAATCAGTACAGAAATCAGTGCAGTGGAACTAATAAAATGTGAGGAAACTAAATAAAACCACATTTTTGATTCAGTAACACTGGTTGGAAAGGGTTTATATGATACAGTATATTCATGTGATGTCGCTTCTACTTAAATGGTGTACACTCAGCATCGTCCATTATGTAGCTAAATTAGCCAATGAGCTATGACTAACCAAACAGATGTATACACACAAATAAAAATCATGCAGAAGTTTTCAGACTGTCGAGACTGGAAAAAGTGAAACAACATGAAGTAATACTTTAGGTCTGCAACATTAACGTCAAAGCAGGGAGGTTTCTTAGTAAAATGTTAAATATCAAACTAATTTTGTCCACAGATAACAAGAAATCATGGTGATCAGCCTTCAGGCTTATTCTCACACCAATTAACAACCTATGCTTTCATTTAGTGGATATGATGATTAAATATTAAAGTACTTGACAGCTATTTAAAAACTATAAAAAAGATTTCCACTTATTCTGAAGCCCAGAGCTACACCAACGTCTTATTATTGCCAACAGGAAGCATCTGGCCTCTTTCTTCCATGGAGCTACATATTTAAACATAATACTCTATGTCTCATGAAACTCAATTTTTGGCCCCATGTTTATGTCCACACATAACTAACATTGCATGGATCTTTGTTGATTCTGATTAACATAAAAGATACTTTGTTGTGTTTTTGTAACAGCCATAGCTAGAGTACTGTGTCAGCTTGGGTGAAAGGGATCATGTGGAAAAACTGACATCAAACATACCCTCTACGCCTGTGCTGATGTTGTGGATGACGGGCTTGCTCCACAATCCAGTGCCATCCTTAGAGTTGGGCTGGACACCAAACTCATAAACTGTGTTGGGCCTCAGATTGTCAATGACTGTGTCACTGGTTGGGCAGGTCTGGTAGTTCCACTTCCTGTTCTTCTCACGATAACGCACCGTGTAGTGTCTGAGCCAAAGACAAAGTAAAACGGAACATGAAGAGTAAATCCTTTGTCAAATTCAAAACAGAAACTCAAAACATCCAGATGATAAAATATCTAGAAGTAGTAGCTTCTAGCTGACAGTGCTTCTGTTTTTGTCTTCAAGACATTTTCATTCAAGAGGCTGCTTTTTAGCTTTTATTTCTTTTTACACTTTAAAGTCCTATTGTCTTGTCTTATTCAGTATTGAATAGTTATTCCAACAATGCTGAAAATGTCGCTGCTTTTGAGAATAATGTGTGCACTCTATGTAAAAATGTCTCTTGTATGCTTGAACTCCACAGTCAGGACACCATGTTTTGATGCTGTGACAGAAATCTACTCTTCCCACAAAAGGGCAGATTCATGCCTTTATTCCTTCATTCAGAAATACATATGAAACTAATGTTAGACATAAAACCAAGAAGAAGATTTGTTCCAAAAGGCAGAGTAGGACTTTTTCATCAAATGCTTCCAAAATGGCTTTTTAGGTTTGGAAAACTGTGTCACGTACATTGTGTGGGTGGACTCCTCTCCTAAACACCTGTGTGCACACACAGGCTGTCCTGGATCCACTACTCGGTAACGTGAGACACCTCAGGGAATCATTTACTGTTTATGCAGTTATACCAGAGACCATGTGTGTGTGCAAGAGAGAGTGCGAGTGACTTAACCTTCCACCATCTGTTTCTATGCTTACCAGAACTACAATACAGCTAGCGTACATGAAATGAAAAAGCTGCAAATGGAAATATCTTTTTCCAGTACACCTGTGCATCTGTATACCAGTTGTCTTTGCTCTGTGGCAGTAGAGGCGTTCAGAACGTGTTTGCACAAAACTTTATTAACAAATTTTCAAACTGAACTGACATTGTCACTGCACAGATCAAGTGAGTGACAATGGATTTAGCAGTGGAGCTCCTCACTGGTGACTGAGAGCCCCGCTGTCAGCTCAGCTGTGGTTCATAGCATCCTAGTTCCTTGTTAAAAGCTTATTAAAAGACAGTGAAAGCCACAGAAACAACCATAATCTGATTACTCTGTCATAAATAACAGGCTCCTGAACTACTAACTTTAGTACAGTCTTTGTATCAGCTCAAATTGCAAACAGGAACTGCTTATAGCTAATTCAGCAGACTTTTAATAGTGCCGGCTAACTAACTGAATCAATTACAACATTGTACTTCTTGTTTAAATCGCCCAAACCATTAACACGAAATCCATAGTGTGGACAAGAGTGTTGGGGTATCACAGTTGTCTCAATTTTGTCTGGGGGGGGCACAGTGTCAGTCTTAAAGAAACCCACTCATGACAATCAGGTAAAAAGGACAGCTATGTGTGTGTTTAGTGTGTAAGCTCACCCATCCTCCACACAGTCATTCATGACGTTGCCTTCATAGGGGGTTTTCAGCAGGGTCCCCCAGGACAAGAGGACTGAAGTGGGCGTTACCGACCCAATGACCAAGTGTAGTGGCTTCTCCAGTTCCACTTTACCTAAGACAAATGAACCTTTTACTTTTATCTCCATGTCCACCTTGATGGACAAGTGCTTGTGTTTCATGTCTGGATGCTACTTTAACAATGTCACCTTGATGGTCATTTTTTCCTGTGAAATTCTTGCAGAAGCATTACCTGTACACTGCTTTTTCATCTCATTGGTAGGGATGGGTTGGACAGCAATAAGGTACTTTGGCTCCGCATCTAAACACAGAAGAAGAACAAACTGGAGGTTAAAGATCCTCTAAGCTGACAGACATAATGATCTCTCTCTTTTAGCCATGACTAAGAAACTCAAATTCCCATATCCACCATCATAGCAGTCGGTTCCTCGTCTCTCAGTGGAACAAACAGAGATATCAACAGCCTTTCTTACCAAACTCAGTTTCATACGGCTGTCCGTTCTCAGGCAGCTGAATGAACTGTTTGGAGAACATGCTGCTGCCGTAGCCCAGGATGTAGCCCTCAAGCTTGGTGTCAGCATTGGGACGCACAAACTTCATCACGATAGTGTCTCCTGTGGCATTGATACGGACTTTCATGTTCTGACGTCTCACTGGGGAGACAGGAGAGACCACAACAGTTACGTTAAACATTCAAGTATTTTCTGTCTTGCTGGTTTTAAGAATGTCACCACATTCGTGACATACAGTATCAAGGTAAGGACAAAAAATCAAGTATCGAGAAAAGGAGGTTCTGTAGTCTAATACCAGTATTTAAAGATAAAACCAAGCTTTGGGCCATCATAGACCTTCATCATGGCAAATGCTTGATAAAATGAGCCTCAGAGTTTCTAATTGCATCACATAGAGCACAGCTGTGCTTTTTAATGCAAGTATACGTGGGAAATGCAGTTTAATATTATAGTTCCTAAGTTCTAAATAATGCCACGAATACAACATATCACAAAAAGTGAGGATAAATCCAGACAGCAATACAGAAATCAAAATACATATCAGAAGGAATGAAAACGAATGGAAATATTGCATAAAAATGTGGAAAGTAATGTACCTGCAACCCCTTAAACAAGCCTTTTTCTCCTTCTTCTACCCTTTTTAGTGAAAGCAGAATAAAAAGCTTGTGAGGAAGAGTTACATAAATGCTTCTATTTTAACGACTTGCACAACACTTCTGTTCTCCATCACCTCATAGGAACACTCAAAGAGAGTCAAAGCAGACTTGCTGCTGGTTTAAATTCTGCTGCAGTGTACATTTTACTGAAAGCTAATCATTTTATTAAGCGAGCACAAAGCTAGAAGAAACACTTATACCCACTCTTTTTATTGTGTGCTTTCTAACTGGATAAGAACACGCATCATAAACTGTACATTGAATCCTCTATGAGTGAGTGCAAGATACAGTATGTGTTTGTACTTGAGGTCAGCAATTTGATAAATGGTTGGTTAAATGGTTTGATACAATACTGGCACACAAATACAATATTTCTCTGTCACAAACACACACACACACACACACACACACACACACACACACACACACACTGACGTCACTTTACAAGAAACGGCACATTTTCTTCCAGAACTGACTTCTACAAAAAACAGTCCTAATCAGCAGAGCTTGGGGACAGATATTAGATGAAGACAGGCATCAAAGGGTGCGTCACAACAAACCAGAGCCAAGAGAGGTTACAGATGAGCTCAAGGGAAACATGAAAACTTTACTTGGTTTGAGATGTTGGTCAGAGATTGCAGAGAACTTGGCAAAATACTATAGTATGAGGGAGGCTAATTCACTGATATTAAACAAAAGCAGGAAAAAAATGGTTTATATTTTTTTAGGAGGTTTTAGTGGTCTTTTTAACATCTCCTTGTGTTCCTATTTATCTTTTTATGTCTATTTCACTTTGAATGACCCTGTTGTTGAAGGTTGCCAAACAAATTACCTTGCCATGACTTGCCTTGCCTATCGTTGCTGTCTGGCAGAAACCTTATCATCTCCATATTCTTGGCTATAGTTCAATTGTCTATAGAGAGTTAAATTAATTTCCTGGTATTTGGGGGAGGGTTTAAGCTTCCTCAGGTAACCCAAAGTGTAAGGGTCACTGGGAACACTCCAGTAATAGTGGAAACACCTGATGTGATCTGTGTCACTAAGGGGTTTCATAAGGACTAGTATATCATTGTCAGGAACTTGGATGTATGGTTGATGTATTTGTTGTGTATTGGGGCTGGAAGAAACTTGACATAAGACATAAACTCGACATAAAGGTCTGACTGTGGAAATATCAGTGTCACGGGACACACACACAGCATGTTATCGGTCATCGGACAAGTTCTGCAGTACCGCTAGTGCCAGAGAGGTTCAGCGGGGATATTGTCTTTATCTTTATCACAACTTGCGTACCACTTAAGTGTTGAACTTTAGTTGTCACCTTCCAAATAAACCCCTGGTTGTAATTAGGCTACTGCTAGCTTATTTTAACATTTTACTCCAGGATTCTGCGAGAACAAAGAATCGATGAATTTGCTTATTTTTCTCTCATCACTTTCCTCTGCAATGTGACCTAAAAAACTTGCCAAGAACTGAGCATGCTTACAATTACTCAATTTGTAACAGGCATGCTAAAAAACATCAGAAAACTCATATGAGTGCAGCTGGTCCACAAGTGTGACTTATGATGATGCCCATATGAAACAATAAATGACCACACCAGCGCAGACTTGGATGATAAATCGTGGAGAGATATACATTTGTCAAATTAAGCCTGTTAATTAAATTGTGGTCCTGTTTTTATCATGTTACAGTAAGTGTGTTTTAATTCGATGCCTCATGATGTCGTTCTTAAATCAAGTTATTGTCGCCTGATTAGACCAAATTCATAACTTTAATTATATTTCCAGTTTTTACCATTTTAACTTCACATTGGAAATCACAAATGCATCTATAGGGCTCAAACCTCCACCTCTCATTGTCTGCAAGGCTTAAAACAATAGACTTTCTGCTTGGATTATGGCTTGTACTATACTCTCTGCAGCATGTCCTTGGCTCATATTTCAGCATTAAATGAAATAATGGAACTTTGCATGAGGAATAATGTCAGCAGCTGCCAGGCACCAAAACAGACACTGACAGTGCAAGAGGGGGAAGCCCTGGGTTTGAAAAATACCCTCGTGCTTTTCCAGCTACAGTATGTGTTTCCTATCAAAACTGCATTTGTTTTGATTCTCCCATCAATATTTCCGATAGAACACAAGTGAGATTGGCTCAGAGGGAAAAGGGGCTCAGAGAGTATGAAACATTAGGAAACTTCTGGCAGTGCGTTTTAAACTCTAGTACAAGCAAACACTGGCTCAGCCCTATCCAACCCGACCAAAGCGCGGCCATTTGGCCCACACACCACTCAGGGACTGTTAAGACTTATCAGTATTTCCAGAGTAAAATGAATAAAGCTTTAGAAATGGATCCAGTCACAGTCCTGATAATCAATCAACTAGTACAAAGGAAAACCACTGACGTCTAGCTAGCCAGAAAAAAAGAAAACTGGTAAGCCACAAAGTTGTGTTATGTGTTTGTGTCAATGAATAGTGAGGGAAATAATGACTGATAATTTGAATTAAAATTCTTATCAAAGGCAGATCTGCTGGTGACTGTGACACGTGAGATCGTTGACAATTTACAACCACACCAAAAGACATGTAACTAAAGTATAATTAAATCCGTAATCGTACTCTTAATAATTATGGATGGATTATTGAACAGGCCAACCAGGCAGAAAAAAAGAGCCTTTTGTTGTCTGTGTCTGAAAGTGATTGTTACTATTTCTATGACTACAAAGAGACACAAAACAGGACACAAAAGGAGACACAAAATGACTAAATGAAGAGATGCACCTTAAAGGTGTAATCACAGAGATTCAAAACAACCACAAATAGACACAAAATACTCATAGACAGATGCAAAACGGCCACCAAGAGATGTAAAATTACCATGTCTTAACAAATATCAGCTTCGTTATGGAGAGTTGGTCATTTCCTCCCTCAATGTTAGTGACAGTCTATTATATAATGTACTGTAAATCTCATAGTGGGGACTAATCCCTTCAATTCAAACATCATGACATAAGCAGTCTATCCCCCTCATACAGAGAACATAACCGATTCATTAACGATTACTGTACGAGCACATCCATCATAATGCTGGGAGTCAGCCAAAAAACAAAGTTAGATTATGCAATGAACAATGTCACATTATTCAGTAAACATTTCACCATTGTATTCATCCTGTTTTGGACGAATAGCCAGAGGATGTAATCTTTCTGGCCTGAGAAGAAGAAACACCCTCAAACTGGAAACTCAATCTTGGCTCAGCAGAACCGTCTTGGATCATCAGCAGTGATGGATGATCCTCTGGGAAAGGGAGTAGGTTAATGGGGTTGTCAGCATAACACGCTCTCTTCACTTTCAACTTGCAGTGCAACATGATATGTTTATGTGAGCTTGGTGTTTGAAAATAAATATTAAAACATGCATCTTTACAGTATGTGCCGTTTTGGCATGAACACATTCTGATTTACTGTCTGACATTATCAAAACCACAGATTTCCACCATTGGCAGCTCTCTTATACTCCACTGTCTTTCTCCTCTCTTGGTTCAGATGAGGAGAAGGAGGACTGCGTTAAAGTAAACGCTCTGAGAATAAATACGCTGAGATCATCTCAAGACTTTTCCACTCATGCTGATGTGTGAACTAATGAACTATAAATATCTGAAGCAAAGCCTCAACAAAAAATAACTTGGAACTGGACTACAAGGCTTGTTTTGTTTTCAAAATATGCAATGGAAAAGAACTTTTCCGCTCTTTGTTGAAATTAATGTGGTAGTTTTGGTGGATGGAAGTGACACAGAATAATTACATCATGTTGGTTTGTCTTGTGAAGCTGAACATTACAGCTGAGTTGTACAGAGTATAAATCCATCTGAATAAATTAGTGTATAAACTCTTAATATTGGTGCAATATGACCTGCATGTATCACACACTTCTATAGAATAATTAAACTGACTGTACACCTTTGACACCTCTCCTGCCACACATAATATCCTGCCTTTGCGTGCATGGTGCCCTGAGTGATTTCACGCAGCTCTGGCGTACAGTATTTCAGCCTCTCATGTTTCTGTCCTGAAAGAAGAGAGGTGGAGAGGAGACTTGGCTTCCTGCACCGTGGAGACAGAGACAGATGTTTTATGGCCTCTTGGTAAAACAGTCACCTTCATTTTAAGGCAATGAAGTGTGAAAATCTCTCAGAGCCTCGTGCCAGCCAGAGCACAGAGGGTTTGAAATAATTTAGTTGGTGAGCAAACGACAGTTGAACTGACCTATATTAGCTCTAATGGGAATATCCTGAGCACGCAGACATGGTTCACAAGAAGCCTCACCTTACAGCCCAGGGGGAGAGAGCAGTGTCTGGGATTATACTCCCACATCTTCCCCCCCTAACCAGCTTGGTGGCTTCCATGCTGGTCCCTCCGCTCTCACACTATATATCCCCCTTGTCAGATTCAACAAAGCAACAGCTGTTTTCCCTTCCCCTGTGGCACTGCTCCATCCCATCCTTCTCCTCCTTCACTCAATCTCGCTGTCCTATATTTGTCAGTGGCCATCTTTCCATTGACCTGATCCTCTTTTAACTTCTTCAAGTGCTTTGAATTCATCTGTCTTGTCCTCTAATCTCCTCTACTTTCCTCTCTCCTTCCATATTTCCCTTTCATTAATCTGTATATGACATGCAGCTATCGTTTGTCCCGCTCAGTAGCAGGTTCCAGGCCATTTATTGTCCTGAAAAGAAGGGTAGTGGATAATAATTTCTTGTTTTACAAAGAATTGAACTCATTCAGACACAGATTGTCTCATATACACTTACTCTGCTTATTCTAAATAGTGAAAAAAAACATGTAAATTAGGAATAAAAAAATGAAAAGCCTCAGGGAGTACAAATCATCTAACAGTGTAAAGACATGTCAACTCTGACACCTGTTTATTAGAGTATACGATAATATCCATTGCATAAAAAAGCAAACACCACATTGCATAACATGTTTCAATCTGAAACCAGGGACCTGATCCAAGAAGAACATAGATACAGACGTTAAACTCTCCTCGCAAAGCAAAAACAGATACACGGGCCCTTTCATCTAGTTCCCAAAGCTGCACATTCACATTTGTCTGCTAGCCAAGATCAGCCAGCAAGTTACGCACTGGAAGCAGCCCTTTCCACTGTGCTTACCTCTTCATGCCGAGTCCAGGCTGCTCACCTCAAATCACTTTTACTACCATCAAAGTCTTCAACAGGCACCGAAGTTTAACTCGCAAAATAGAGCATGGCTTCAAAGCATATAGAGTCAGAGATAGAAAGCCAGTGTGTGTGCATGTATGTGCACTAACACAGCAGTGAGATAATGAGAAAATATGGGAAACGTTTGTGGAAAAATTACCTTTTCTAAGAATTCCGTGGGAATCAGATAGAAGGGACTCAATACAGTATAATCTATTTATCAAAGTGAGTCTGTGTTATGCTCTCCTTCATGGCACATTGGAAAAGAAAACACTGCACGTGGGTTTAAGGAGTTTGGGAGCACTGACATGGTCATCTCCACACTATTGATAAAACTCTCCAAATATTCATTTTGCTGTCGATATTTTGGAAAAATGTGGTTCACACTGGCCAGAAATTATATGTCTACTGCACCGTCTAAAGACTCCCTTCAGTCTGTTTGATAAAATCCCTTCATAATAAAAAAACAATAAAAAAAATAATTGGCCAACTTATAAACTCTTGGTGGGCACAGTTCCAGGAAACCCAGGCCAGGTTGTCCACAAGTCTAACCCCTGACCCCCAACCTGGAGACACTTTCATCACAACCTGTGAGCAGTAACTGTCCTATTTCACTGTGTCTGCTCACCTCATTTCGGGGAAAACCACAAGGATCATAAAAACAAAAAAAAGCAGTTTGAAAGCCTGACAGGTGGTTCGAGAGAGAGAAAACCTGATTTGCCTTAAACAGTGTTTGATAGTTTTGATAGTTTGATAGAATCAGAGGTCAGTATCAAATCCATTTATAAAATCTTAATCCTTTCAAATTCCCTGTTGAATTTATTTAGGTGTCTTGGGTGTGTGTGTGTGTGTGTGTGTGTGTGTGTGTGTGTGTGTGTGAGAAATAGCTTAATATTTACTAACTATAACTTAAAGACTGACATTCAAAAAATGTTTTGTTTGTTTGTTTGCAAAAATAATTACTATGGTAAGTTGTTGCTATTTAAAAAAAAACCTTGGAACAGGACTCTTGAGCCCACAGTTTCGCTATATTTGTAGGGACAAATATGTAGGACACTTGGTACCAAAACAATAGGGCACAGTTTGCTTTGTTTTATGGACACATAAAACAAGTCTGTGAGGGACATGTGGAGATGTCTGAGGAAAAGCACTCAGCTCAAAATGTGTTGCCTTTACTCTTTATTTGCATATTTTAGCCACTTGTGTTTGTCTTTTGTTCTGTATGTGTGTATTTGGGGATTTCTGCCCATCAGAAGCTTCCATAAACCTCAACTTCTTTTATGTTACAAACGATATGTGTCACATGGTATCCATCACTCAACATACTTTGCAGTAAATGGTTGTCTCAATATGGTTACAAAACCCTTTCTCTTGTCATTTAGGCTTGAAACACATATCCATCTTACTAACTATGACATATGGTCTTTCCAAGTGTATCCCAGCATGTATTTGGCAGAAGGCAGAGAAGAACCATGGAAAAACCATCAGTGCATCACAGGGCAAACATAGAAAGGAGATCATAATGATGTTCACTTTCACTTGCATGGATCTTAGACTGTGGGAGGACACCCACAACATTGGTCCATGCAACAAATAAATCACTCCAGTCAATCAATAGCAAATTGTCAGAAGAAGAAAATAATACTGATGTCAGTATCACCTACCTCTGCTCCTGCGGGGAGTTGAGGGGCCAGAGAG